GAGAGAGAGAGAGAGCCAGAGATAGAGAGCGAGACAGAGAGGGGGAGACAGAGAGAGGTCCCGCTCACACCCTGGTTTCCTACACCACTCATCGTACGTATATATCGTACGTGTGTGTGTATTAGGACTGCATGCAGCTTCCACCAGTAATTAATGTTTTATTGATATGTGACCCGCAAAAATGCTTTCATGGCGCCGATATATTTCCGTATGCATGCCAAGTATAATTAATTTTATCAGAAATCTATGTGAGCATGTGCGTGCGTGCGTGCGTGCGTGCGTGCGTAGATGTACCTACGTGTGCGTGTGTGTGTGTGTCAATGTGTGTGCGTGTGCGTGTGCGTGCATGTGTGTGAATGTGTGTGTGTGTGTGTGTGTGTGTGTGTGTGTGCTGTGTGTGTGTGCGCGCGTGTGTGCTGTGTGTGTGTGTGTGTGTGTGTGTGTGTGTGCGACGCGTGTGCGAGCGCGTGTGCGTGTGTGTGAATGTGTGTGCGTGTGTGCGCGCAAGTGTGTGCGAGCGTGTGCGTGCGTGTGTGCGAGCATGTGTGTGTGTGCGCGCAAGTGTTGGCGAGCGTGTGCGTGTGTGTGGCGTGCATTGTGCGTGTGTGCGCGCAAGTGTGTGCGAGCGTGTGCGTGTGTTTGAATGTGTGTGCGTGTATGCGTGTGTGTGTGTGCGAGCGTGTGCGTGAATGTGTGTGCGTGCTGTGCGTGTGCGCGCGCAAGTGTGTGCCGAGCGTGTGCGTGTTGTGGTGCGCGCAAGTGTGTGTGAATGTGTGTGCTGCGGCAAGTGTGTGCGAGCGTGTGCGTGTGTGTGTGTGCGTGCATGTGCGTGTGCGCGCGCCAGTGTGTGCGTGTGTGCGTGCATGTATGTGTGTGTGTGCGCAGGGTGTGCGAGCGTATGCGTGCGTGTGTGTGAATGTGTGTGTGTGCGCGCAGTGTGTGCGAGCGTGTGCGCGCGCGCGCGCCGTGTGTGTGTGTGTGTGTGTGTGTGTGTCGTAGTGTGTGTGTGTGTGTGTGTGTGTGTGTGTGTGTGTGTGTGTGTGTGTGTGTGTGTGCGTGCGTGCATGTGTATGTATTTACGACAAAGCAGGCCAGTTTACGTGTCACTACAAAATACATATATTCTAAGCAAGCCGATGATGCTAACGTCTTTGCTCACCAGGTGGAGCTTTCTGCCATCTGACGTGACGTCATCACTCTCCATTTCCATCATACAATTAAGTACGGGTGTTGCTATCCCCCGGGCGTGGAGGGAGGTCACGTGATAACGTTGACGATGACGTTCAAAAAGTTAAACCTAACGGTAACCCTCACTCCAACACCGCCAACACTAACCCTCACATTAAATATATATGTGTCGCCGCGCTATATATAGGCAGTGTTATCCACAAAAATTAATCTATGGTGTGGGGACAGATATAATGATGCAAAAACCCTAACCCCAACCCTAATCCTAATCCTAACCCTAATCCTAACCCTAACCCTAATCCTGACCCTAACCCTAATCCTAACACTAGTGCTGCCACGTTGCGGTCACCTCCCTCCACGCCCGGGGGATAGCATTACCCATTAAGTACATTGTCGACATGCAGTTCTTCAATCGGTGGCTTTCAGTTACACAAGCTCTAATATAAAATCATCGATCGGCTTTCTATCATTTTGATCGGTAACAAAGTAGACGAATCTTCGATTGAGGTGCACGAAAAACTAACAAACAACAGTCGACCTGATATGATCCGATTTCCACGAATCACAGCGTGCCCTGCTACAGCAGGCAGTGCTGCTGAAATTCTTCCTCGTAATTTAATTTTCCAGCATAAAGAACCACCACAAGCCTTTCTAATTATTAGGTAGTGCATCGTCCCAAGTTGTGGAAAATCGTGTTGAATAATGAAAGTGTCAATGACACTATAGCACACGCACATTATATAAACAAGAGTATATATGGGAGAACTCCCATTATATACTCTTGCTAATTAATATATGTGTAATTTTTGATGCGAAAATAAATGCATCTGAAAGTCTGAAATCTTGACAAGAGGCAAGATGACAAGATGGCGCTACACCTAAATGATCGCCATTTTGGTTTTCGATTATCGAGCAAATAAAAACAATAAAATATTCCAGTCAAACTACTGTAATGAAGAATCTAAAACACAATATTACACCTCGTATGATTAGGTAGGTAGGTAGGTAGGTAGGTAGGTAGGTAGGTGTAAATTTAACAAAATCTAATGAATCTAGATGGCCATTTCCGTTTTTGCCGAAAAGTAGGCGTGGCTCGAAAGTAGGTGGACTGGCCTGCTTCAAAATAGGACGTTCAAATCTCTCCCATAGGAGTAATAACTGTATGCAATTTGAAACATGTGGGTCAAACTGTTCTTGAGTTATCGTTGACCGTAGGCAGACACTGAAATGCATAGTTAAATTGCCAAAATCTACCTATTTACATAATTTATAAAAATAGCAAAACCCCTGTGATAGGTGTTGGGGCCAGTTCTTATTCATTCGCATACCAAAAATGAGCAAAATCCGTTGAACCTGAACTGACTTATGGCCATTTCCATTTTTGCCAAAAAGTGGGCGTGGCTCGAAAGTAGGTTAACTGGCGTGCCCCAAAATAGGACGTTCACATCTCGCCCATAGGAGTAACAACTGTATGCAATTTGAAACATGTGGGTCAAACGGTTCTCAAGTTATCGTTGACCGTAGCCAAATGTTGATATACAGACGGACGTACGACAGACGACGCCCCATGGCAATAGCTCATCTTGACGATGTGAAGGTGAGCTAAAAACCAAATACAATCCCAATGGGAAATTTACTGGGATGCTTCGATCACGTTGCGAAATTTGTAACATATGGCTATTATTCTATCGTGAATCGTAATAGTGGTACGCGTCGGTGAGATACACCGGTGCTAAAACGTCTGTCATGTACAACACATAAACAACGAAAGAACCGATATGTCTGTATTAAAGCAAGTAAACGTTTAATGAACGTATCTTAACTAACGTATAATCCCACAAAGGGGGCAGTATCGCGTACATATGTTTGCGCGGTGCATGAACGTAACTTACGATTTCAATAGTAGATATGCGGTCGCAAAGATGACTCACGGAGTATGTTAGGTACGATGATTACTTAGAGATAGTCAGAGAGGGGTAGGGGTCCCTGCACATGTCGTGCGCGTGGTTTTATACGTCTGTCCTGTCTATTGTCTTTCTCCAGGCCAATCGCCTTATCCTGCTCGCTAACTGGCTGTTGCATTATGGGACTGGTTCCTGTCAGTGCCCAGCGTTTAAACAAAGACCAGACTCAAGCTATTTCTATTATAACACGTATTTATAGAACTAGCTTTATCCTTGGCGTGCCGTGCTTTCATAATTACTTATGACACTAATTTCTCTGTATTACAAATTTAATATTCCAAGAGTTTATTCAACTCGATTAATAACGCGCATAATCGGATTGTCGTTATCGTGACTAACAACAAGCTTCTAAAACAAGTAGCATAATTAATTAATGCATGCGACACACGTCATCAATGTAATATTCATGACTGCTTGTAGAACGGGTGTTCGTGTGTGCAGCCATGTCCTTTACCTTAGTCTGGTTGCTTTTGTGCCGATTCCTTATTCAGAAACCAATAAATATGTTTACTGACCATTCAAAACATCAGCGCTACGTGCGTACGTTATACATATTACGTGTGTTGTATATTATATTATTTACTGCTGAAAATGTTGACAAGTAAAGATGTGTGAAAAAATGAAAGTTATAAGACACTCATCTCTTGTATAAATAATTATATTAGCAAAACTATTTCTTACCAATACAGATCCATAATGTAGATGCACATGGTTATATTAGTCACATAAAGTCCAGATTCAAAGCTAACATAAAATTACGTATTAGTGTGTATACAAAGTTCCAAAACATCACATTTAGTTTAAACTATACATGTTAACCACGTAACCACTCCATGTTATAACTGTATGAAATAAAAAATATATATAGTGAACATTAGCTAAGCTAATAGCACCATTCAATGTTATTCAATCTCAGTCTGGTCTAATCTGTTCTGTTCCCACTTGCCCCTGCAGAATCTGACTGCAGTGGAAGAACAGAAATACAGAGACCCGACTTACGAACATTCGAGTTACGAACTTTCGATGATACGAACAATTTGCCCTGAAGTCCATTAGTGTATAACGTATAATGTCAATATTGGTGAATAAAAAGACACAATCGCCTTTCGTGAATCGTAAATCTTTCGTCAATCGACTTTCGCCAACTCCTGTGTTTACGTATATGTTTACACTATTTACACTTCTAGGTTACTCGATGTTCACACGCACATATACTACACTACTGTACAATACTCAGGGGCGTGTACAGGATTTGTACCAGGGGTGGGGGGTCTAACCGTAACCCAAACTTGCGAGCACGCGAAGGGGGGGGGGTCTGGACCCCCCCCCCCCTGTACACGCACCTGATACTGTATACGTACAATGTATATATACGACGATATGTTCGACTTACGAACAAATCGACTTACGAACGACCGCTCGGAACCGAACCTGTTCGTAAGTCGGGGAGTCTCTGTACATTTACTATCAGCAATGGATGTAGACTGCCGACAGTTTGCTCTTCCAGCCAGCCAGCAATCTGACGTCAGGCAAACACACAGAATGTCGTTAGTCTCACCAATGATATGTAGCAATATATTTTAAGCGTACTTGTCCAAAGATTGTAAACGTAAACACCAAAGCAATACTCATGACATTCTAATAAAAACATACCAAATTATCAATTATAGCAGCGATATTTGAATCACTAATAACAATGGGTCGGAAAAATGTGATTTCCATTTCAATAACAAGTACAAATATAAATTTGCGCCGCGTTGTACATTGTAAAATAAGATTCAGCAACAATTTCTTTGAAAATATTTCTCATCCTTGTTTGAAATTTCCATGCATGATCCCAAGTATATCATTACTTAAAATATTTATATACGCAAACCATCACCATATTTCTTTCTATAACAGCCACAAGTATATAGGCAATTTTATTACCTAAATTTACATATTGCTATGTAAATAATGTTAAAGTTTGTTATGTAATTAAAAATGTATGACCATTAATGATTAACAAATTTATTAATAACGATCATAATAAATTTCTGAATGTATCTGCATACCACGTGATGTTTATAACATGGCGACTCTATTTTTTACCTTTAATACTCATCGCAATCCAATGCGCAAGTAGGACACATGTTTACGAGTAGATGGCGCCACAATCCACGTATTAATTGTGGTGGTTGTGATACTTCTTGCATTTAAACTTGATTTCATCTGAAGAGAAACACACACCGAAACATTAAATTACGTAACGAGAGTTGATGTTATTTCGGACTCTAACGCTCTACTAGATATATGGAAACACTCTCGCTTATGCAAACAATTAACCACATTATCTTACTGCTGGAGAACACGAATTTTTCCAGTCATAAAAAAACTGAGATGACCCATCGTTACGTATTCGGACACAGAACTGCTTATGTTGACGACTTCCACAGCCACCTAATAGCTTAGTGGCTAAACTAGGTAGCCTGAAGACCGAATGTCAGAAATGAAATTCGTCTTAATTATAGTCTTTTCATGAACTTTTTTCAGAGACCGTTAACATAAACATGGTAAACAAGTTTCTCACACGTACTATGAGATACGTACTATCAGAAGTAGATAATAGGGAAGGAGTGTGACTTCAATAAACAAGGGAAATTCGTCATTTACTAGCCTTAGAATACCTACGATTTACTACGCGTAACTCAACCAACTTGAGCTCAAATCGTACACAGTACATTCGCCTAGCATCAGGCGAAATCGTTTCCTCGTATACACCCGCAATCCGGAGATACAGACTAAAACGTACGACACGATTATCAATTCTGTTGCCAGCAAACCGAATGTATAAACCGCCTAAATTATACTGTGTACGATTTGAGCTCAAGTTGGTTGAGTTACGCGGAGTAAATCGTAGGTATTCTAAGGCTAGTAAATGACGAATTTCCCTTGTTTATTGAAGTCACACTCCTTCCCTATTATCTACTTCTGGTACTATATTATATACGTCATGGAGTTTCTTATGCGTAGTATGTAGATGTCCGGTGTGCGAGAAAAAGTTGAGACTAGTAGTAAAGGTAACATTAGGACTAAATTTGTTTGTGATTGTGCACCCCCCCCCACCCTACACACAGAACTGAACCCACCTTCCTTTAGGTGTAGGCCGGCTCTCCACTCAGGCAGCGTGATATAGTGATCTCCGAAATTAAGACTAATTTTGTTTGTGATCACGCACACCCCCCCTTCCTGCGGCACTGCACCCACCTTCTAGGTAAACACACACACGGACGCACGCGAGCGCGCACACGGACGCACGCACGCACACACAGACGCACACACGCACACACGCACGGACGCACGCGCGCGCACACGCACGCACGCACACACGGATGCACACGCACGCACGCACACACGCACGCATGCATGCACACGCGCCGACGCACGCACGCACATGCTCATGCACGTACCTTCCTCAAGGTGTAGGCAGGCTCCCCACTCGGGTAGCGTGATGTAGTGATCCCCGTCCACGTCACAGTTGTCGAGGAACGGGCTGATGCAGCGTTCCAGCGTGACGAGAGGCGCCTTCAGCTGTGTCAGCTCGTGTCGTGACAACTTCCTGCGGGTCAACGCAAAGGCAGTTAAAATGAAAGTGTCAATGACACTGTAGCTCACCACAAAAAAGGACACAAATGAGTGAGTGAGAAAAAGTCAGTTTTAATTGAGCAACCATCGACGTACATTATAGAAACGAAGATTATATATGGGAGAACTTTCCCATTACTATACTTCTTCGATAATTATGGTATTTTTTGGTGAAAAATAATAATAATATTAATATAAATTATAAATAATTTATAAACAACAAGTTGCCGCAGAGCGACAGGCTCATCTGGTGTTGGTTTCTGCGTGATAAATCATTTGCTGCATAGCCAGACGTCCTATAACGTTCTATTCTAACCCAAAAAAAACACATCAAAATAGGCTAATAAATTACGATAGATGGCGCGGCCGCTATATCAAGGCATCAATCTGCATCGGTAGTGCTATCCCACTGGCGTGGAGGAGGTCACGTGCATAACGTTGACGATGACGTTCAAACATTAACCCTTAAGTAACTCTAAACTACAAGAACGTCCAACAATAACCCTATATAAATATAGTATATGTCGCAGCGCTATATATAGGATTTGTGAACCACATAAAATTATCGTATGGTCGTGGACAGATATGGTGATGCTAAAACCCTAACCCTAACCTAACCCTATCTAACCCTAACCTACCCTAATCCATAAACACTAGATGACTGGCACGTTGCGGCCCTCCACTCTTCAACGCCGGCGGGATAGCATTACCACCCCATGGGTAGCATCGCGGTCACCCAGGCAGCATTGCCAGCAATGGCCCAGCTGTCAGTGTGACGACAGATGGCAAAAAGCAGGAGCACATAATGTACCATATTATTACTATACATACCGTGCGTTCTATGTGTCAGGTAAGATAACGGTACAATTAACCCGTTGCGAGCACTCTGGCTCGTTACAAATAGCTCAATGGTGATATAACAGAGCGCTCTCTGCCAAAGATTACAATTTGACAGGCAATACGTAGCAAATATCTTGGCGTAAACTAATTTCAGTACAATCTCTCTTAT